CAAATTTCACTTGGTTTTGTTGGATAAGCTTAAATCACACAAGGTTCACCATAAAGCTTCTTGTGCCTTTCTCTTTTTTTTAATGTAATCTAGGCTCTGGAGTAAAAAGAGACAGTGCAGTGCTTATCTGGGCTGAACACATTTTACATAGCTTTGGTTGTAAGTTTCAGACTAAGGCTTTAGGAGGGGTTCTGAATAGAGATTCAGGGATTCATTTATGTGGTCATTTACCATAAATCTGTCTCAACATTCTTTTATACTACCATTTCCTTCATACAATAGAAAAGTGTCACAGTATTTTGTTTACACAAGGCATTTGAGTGATCTCTCTCTCTTATTTTATAGGTTGAGAAAATCATCTGCAATTTAAGACCAGCTTTGAAACTCCGTTTGCGTTTCATAACGCATATCAGCAAAATGGAGCCAGCTGCTGTTTCTCAGCAGCCCATGAACAGTGGTTCTCCAGCACCACAGCCTAGCCAGGTGCCTGTCAATGTTGCCTTGCCAGTAACACAGTAAAACAAGGCATAACACCAGTGTTTCTTTGAAGACTGCCTTTTATATTGATTGAGATGGAACTTAATCAGACTTGATGTGTGGCACACGGTATCAGAGGGGAAGAGACAGTATAGAAACCGCTGCTTAATTTGATTGATATGATGGATCTATCTAGTCAGATGCGTTCCAGTCTTCCTATCTCTTTATATCAGAAACATGATTAGTTGCTATATTTGTAACCATCCTGGTTCTCCATACTTCTGTCTATGTTTACCTGAGGCTATTCAGAGGTGTCTTTTGCTAAGGTAACTCCTCACCTTGCCTGCTTACTTTTAACTGAGAAGTATGGATCCCAAATGTATCAGATTATCTCTTCAAACCTTGGGACCTAATATTAATAGGATAGACATAAAAGATGAATATTTTGATTGTAATTGGGCAGTACCATCAACCTAACATCTTCACCTTGCTTCAGTTAATACCATTTTGAGATCAGTGGGACTGCTCATGGAACAGGGTCCCACTCATCTTAAATCAGGCACAGTCCAGTCCTAGATGTACACACCCCATTAACTTGGCTTCCTGCTCATGATAAAAAATGTGGGGCAAAAATAATGGATGATGTTCTTTTGATAAGATGAGCAAGTTTAGTCCCTGATCCAGGAAAGCATCCCCGATTAAGTCATTATGGCTGAAGTTGTAAAATCTTTTTAAAGGCTTAACATGTCCAATTGTAAGCAGTGAAGCAGCTTACTGTCTTCATGAAAGCTATAGTTTTGATCTAGCATGATCCCTCAGGATGCTAGATTATTAGCTAAAATGGAACTGTATTTAAATCTATGGATTCAGTAAAGTTTTTTGCTGGTGGATGTTTATCTTTCCTGTTTAGGAAACGATGTAATTTTTATTAGTCAATCACTTTGGGATTTCTGTATCTATATCCTATTTTAGATTTGTATAATACTTCATTCTTCAGCTTTTATGTGTGTGTGTACTATCAGTTGTTTAACAGGTATGATTTGATAACAAATGAAAAGTCTACTGAGATTTGTAAAATATTGATTATGTTTGATGCATTTTAAAAACTTTTTAAAAATAAAAATGTCTAAAAGAATATAGCAGTATTGCTTATATTAAGCATGGTAATTTGTTTGCCCTGAAAGTAAGGATTGGTCAAAACATTCAAGTTTCTCCAAGTCCTAAATCTTGACATTTACAACAGTACCAACTCGGATGGATCTCAGCAGACCACACAAGTTTAGATGAATTAAGCCGAAGCACTACCTCTTAATAAAAATGTGAGTACTTTACAAATAATACCCATTCCATATATATAATTCTTTTACCTCAATTTACATGCTTAATACCCCTAGCAGATTTTTAAATTGGTATCTCCAGTAATGGCAACTTCTGAGTTATGCATTAGTCCAAGGTCTTACCAAGTGCTTTGGTGAATGAATTGCCTTATCTATATCCAGCCTGTTGACCAAGAACTGTATTGCTTTAACAGTCCCCTTAACCATTCACTATTTAGTTTTATGGGTAGAATTAGTGTCATCCTATTGGTATCATTCAATCCAGACATTTGAGGGAAAAGTTTGTTCTTGATATGTCTGAAGCAGTAGTCCTAGACAGAGTAAGATACCAGTCCTAGTGAGAGTGATGTCAGCGCTGTTTGGTTTGAGAACCATTTGATCTCTCATCTTAAGCATCAAGCTTTAACAGAGTGGTTTGATTGTTTGCATTGTGGCTGCCTACGGACATAAAAAAGGCACATTACTTTAAACTCCACACGCCCCTGCACCAAGCCCAGCACATGCCCAAAAGAAGCAGCATGTTAGTTGGACCTGGCTCTCCCCAACATCTGTATAGATCAGGAATTTCAGCGGGGCTTTTTTGGCATTTTTAACTAATAGCTGATTGAAGTGCCAGAAAGCCCTGCTGAAGTGCACAGTCTATACAGATGCTGCAGAGCTTGCTCGAATTAATGCACTGCCTCTTCCGATAAAGTGCTGGTTTGGTTTGTTGGTTTTTTTCCCAATGTTCCTCACTTTTGACTGAAAGCCCTGCATTTTCAAAGTTTTCCTTGTTTGCTTAGGTTTTAAATTGCTATCACAGCAAGGCAAAGCTCGTGTAATTTGTCATATATTTGCGGAACTGATGATTGATTTGTAAAACTGGAAGGCCATGGTAGCATGAATTAATGTTTGTAGGACTTGCATCATGAGATTTGAATGATGGATAGACAAACACCTGACTCAGGTTCTGCAGAAGGGAGAGTATAGAGAATGGTGCAGAAACATGTCTGGTTCACCTGTTCCCCTACCCCTCAATATATGGGATTTTTTACTCTGGTAGATTTAATTAAAGAAAATGCATCCAGTAAAATTTGAACAATTGTCTGTAATGTGAAAGCCTAGTTGAGGCTCTGAAAAATGGTGAATTCAGTTTTTAGCCACCAGAGGGAGTTTTGTCTGATGCATTCCTATTCTTCAGTTTATACTACTCAATCTGCAGCATTTCAGTAGACCATGTTAATTGATCTTTTATTTATAATGCAGAGGGAGAACAACTGTTCTTCCTTCTCACAAAGGGTGGGTTATAATGCAATAGATTTACACTGCAGCAAAACAGGTTTAGTTTAAATCTCAGGAGAAAACTTCCTACCTCAAAAAATGTAGGACAGCAAAACAAGCAGCCCTTGGAAGTTTTGGAATCTCCTTTATTGGAGGTTTTCAAGGACAAGCTAAGCTATATGGCTATTTATCTTGGATGGTTTAGGAATAGCCCTTTCTGCATCTATGCAGGTGGTTGGACTGGATAATCTTCGACAATCCTTACAACCCCATGACTGAAACGTACCCACTAAATAGGGCTATGCGAAACAGCACCATTTCGTTTCGACTTTTGTTTCACTATTTTGAAGGGACAGTGTTTCATTTTGTCGTTTCATTTTGTCATCCCCTACCAAGTTTCAAGGAGATAGGTGAAGACGTTTCTGAGAAACTGCACCTCAAACAGTTGAAAGGAAAACTCGAATCACTTGCCAGCGGCAGCAGCCTCCTGTCATCCACACACTGATCCAGGTGCCCACACCCCCAGGAGGAGTCCGGCACAGCCCTGCAGCCCTCTCAGGGGTGCAAGCCCCCAGATCTGCATGCAGGATAACAGGAGGTTGCCGCCAGGGACCTGCACTGAGCGCAGCCTGCACCCAGCACTGAGAAGATTCCTGCAGCCGCCAGATGACCGGAGGCTGCCGCTGCTGCCTGGAGCCAGCGGCAGCAACAATCTTCCCGGCGCTGGGCCTGCGCTGTGCCCAGTGCCAGTCCCAGGTGGCAGCAGCAGCCTCCTGTCATCCAGCGCACAGGTCCAGAGGCCCGCACCCCTGGGAGGGCTGCAGGGCTGTGCCGGACTCCTCCTGGGCGTGCGGGCCCCCAGATCACACGGGACGACAGGAGGCTGACGCTGCCAGCTGACACCACGCCAGCACTGGGAACAGCCCACGCCAAGCACTGGGAAAACTGCTGCTACCACTGGCCCCAGCCAGCAGTGAGAGCATGCGGTCATCCCATACGCAGGTCTGGGGGCCCACATCCCCCAGGAAGGCTGTGGGGCTGTGCCAGACTCCTCCCGGGGGGGTGGTGCGGGCTCCGGGATCTGCACGTGGGATAACAGCAGGCTGCTGCTGCTGCCGGCTGGGATCAGTGCTGAAGCCAAGCAAGCCCGGCTTTGAAACTTGAAACATTTCAAAACTTTTGAAACATTTCAAGTGCTCTCATTTCATTTTGAAGCTGTTTCGAAGATTTGTTTCGTTTCTTTTCGATTTCACTGATTCAAGCTCAAAACGCATTGAAACAGCTTCAAAACAAAATTCCCGGCAAAATTTCTACTAAACACTCATCATGAAAATATTTCCCAAAGCCAGTTAGTGTATGTTAAACTGTAAATCAACGTAAGTAATTTCTTACATATTTTGACTCAAGTTTTAGTAAGCTAGGAAGTAAGTTTTTGTAACATTTTGGTAGTGTTGAAGTGATGTAGTTATGATGGTCCAGGAAATGCATGAGTTTCTGTGGATGATATGTTTTATTGATCCAGCTGCATGGTTGGGAGGGATTTAGACAAGCTTTCAGGTATCAGTACACTTCTGCAGACCGCAGGCCCTATACCTGTGATATCTGAAAGTTTGTCTGAATTTCTCCCAACTATGCAGCTGGTTCAGTAAAAGATACCACCCACAAAAATGCTTACGTATCTTTCCATAATGTTTCCATTGTTGCTTACAGCATTGTGTGTTTGGACATGTGGAAGTTTGCTGAAGGTTTTTTTTTAGTGCTAACAGTTTTCAAATTTTTGCAAGCAATTGTATTCATGATCGAAGAAAACTGTTCAGTGCTTAAACGTACATTCCCATTTTTTAATGATACAAAGAGTTTTATAAGAAAGTAACTAAGAGAAGAACCAGTAAAATGAACATGTGATTTACAGCCATAGTATATAAATGGTTTGACTTGACACTTACTGTTTGTATGAGAAATTGTATGTGATCACCTCTGTTGCCTAACATTTCCAGGCTTTATTAGCATCTCATTGTTTGGGGCACAAAGAAAGACTTATTTCATGCTTCAAGTCATTAAAGTTGTCCATAAAAATAAGTAACTGCCATTAATGGCATATTGTATTTTAATACTAAAAAACACAATTGAATATAATTGAGACTGTTCAGATGAATGTTTGTGGCTGGGGAATAGAGTAACTGAAACTATGAGAGCCTTCTCACATTGCTCCAAAACAGGACAAGATCATAGCAATAGCTGTGTTCACTATTGAATTAACTTCTTCCTGTGTCTTCCCACAAGATGGATTGATCTCCATCATATCTACTGCTGAGAGCAATCCTGTAATTTTAATAAAATTTTACTCAGAAAATTTAATTTGATTCATAACTTTCTTTTCAATGTGAGGAATTCCAAAGTCAGTGCTGTAAGAGTTTCAAGGTAACATGCATTTTCCCTCCTTATACTGTCTTTGTTAAACTAAGAGTGCAAACAGAAGTAACAATTGGAATGTTTCAGGCCACCTGCATAAACTTATTGCCTTTTGAAACATTACCAAAGTGGTCAAAGTGCTCCAGAATAGTACCTTCTTCAATTAAGCACTACTTTGGACCTTTTAATTTTGTTACTTGTGCACAAGAACATGGAGGGAGAGCCTTCTGCTGTCCAAGCTACCAGGTCCCACTCCAGGTCACAGCATGCTGCTAGTTTTCTGCTGAGACACCCTCCCCATCCCTCCACCAGATCCACTGCTTCCAGAGCTGGGCTGGAACCAGACTCCCTTCCCCCCTGCCAAATCCTGGGGCCACTGCAAGAGTCAGGGCCTTCCAGCTCCAAGCCTTTCTACCTCTAAGAGGAAAAGTTTGGGGGATTTGGAGCTTGGGATTCTAGCAGTATCCCAACCGGGAGAAGTGGGATCCTGGGATGCCCCCTCACTCCTTACCTCTTCACTGTAGTGCTCTGTGCTCTCCCTTACCTTCCGCTGTCTCTGTGGAGGAAGGGGGAAACAGAGCCACAGACTCCTGCAGCCTTTTGAAACAGACATGTGCCCCCTAGCTGAAATAATTCTTTTTAAAATGCTCCCAAGTGTATCTCGCTTGGAAACATTTCCACAGTAACTTGTCTGCATCCTAAGGCACCGCAACTAGTACTAAGCAATTTCTGCTCTAGGGCAAGATACTTAGGGTTAAGGTTTTTCTTCTCTGTTCCCCTGCTGGATGCCAAAGTGCTGGTGTTAGGGAGCCAGTTATGACTCCATCATTTTCATTTAAAGACTAGTATAACTTGTGCCAACTTGCTGAGTTCCTACAGGCTCAGAAGCCACTTTGGCCACTGGTAAAATCACAGGTGCAAGAAGCCACTGTTTCAGCTTGCTGGCAAGGGCAGTAACCAAGCAATGGTTCATCAAACGGAGACTGATCACTTGAGTGGAGCAGAGAGGCTCATCAGAAGGATCACATGACAGAGGGCTCTGGAAGTGATGACCGTCATAGCCTGCTCTAATCACTGTCTTGCCAACCAGAACAAGAAGGCAAGTTTGCAGAAAAGAAGTAATGGGTCTTAGGACCTGGAAAGGAGCAACCAAAGCCCACAAGGGGTTTGGAGAGGTGAGGAATTTGAAAGTGAGGATTTTGCATGCAGCTGTCTGTGGGATTGTTTCTTTTTTTTTTGCTTCCCCTAATTCTGTCGTGCTTTGCTCTGAATGTGTATGATACACATGTGCTATTTGCAAGGCCTCTCCATTCTTTGCTGTAACTGGTCAGTGTTCCCAAAGTGTTCAGTTGTGAGGTGGTATTACCTGTGTACCCTGGGAAAGATGAGCTCAACCTGTGGGGTGCTGAAATTCTGAATGTTGAAGATAAATCTGGACGCTTAGGTGTGAAATTGTACCTGTTTTATAAAGTTATTCTGTCATATATATGCCCTCCCTAAAAGTCATTCCTCCAGGAACAGGGGTGCCTGTAGCTGGTATCAGAGAGGGTTCCAAGCCATCAACATCAAAACTTAAGTGAATTGGTCTCTTCTTACTTGGTGGGGAACAAGAAAACAGAGTTACAACATCTGTGTTCAGGAAACTTTGAAGTGGTTCTCTGAAAATGTTCTTTACAAGTTGGAAAAACTTAAAACTTCTCCATTTAAGTTTCTTGTGCCCTACTTGGAAAACATCTACATGTGGCACAGACGTTATAAAATGTAGGGTTCTGGATGCCATCATGGTGCAACAAAAAAAAAAAGATTGATAATTTTATGCAGCATTTGTCTACTTTTGAGAAGTGATTGTAAAACATCTGGTATGTGCATCAGGGCTGTAGGAAAGTAGAGATGGGGAGCACTTATTGGATCTGTCCCTCTAATTAGAATATTTTAATAATAAAACAATTTAAATATAATCACAACAAACACAACGTGTTTTAAATGTACACAAATCAAAAGAGTTTTAAAGGGACCTCAGGTGATAAAGCCAACAATATTAACAAGTTCATAACTGTCAAGGCAGAAAAACTGTCTGACTTGTGTTCAGATTATTGTCAGTAGATACAATGTCTGGCTTGTGTTTGGAAGTATTTGACTGAGCTGTATTCCAATATCCAGTAGTCCTATTAATCATACATATTGCAGACTTCTCCTCCTGCTGTCCTGAAACAAGTTTATTCTACCATTATTCATGCTACATCCCTGGAGTTCACTGGTGTCATCCCCAATCACTTCTGCAAATGGGTAATGTAATTTTTACTCTCACTAATAAATTATACATTCTGTTTACTTACTTGGCTAGCAAATAGCTAAGTGTTTCCTCCATCACCTTCCCAATCCCGAGTTTATCTTCTTCACTCATTGAATAGCACTTAATGTCCAGAGATTTCACAATGCAGCTGAAAGACATACAAAAGATTAAATAAATTTAAATTGCTTTTCGACATTGAATAAATGTGTATTGTCCTTAAATGTTTACCTTTTATCAGAAAGCTAAGTGCAAATATTTTAAGTAATCTTACATTTTTATTCTGCTTACAAATTATGAGGAGGGAATTATTGGGGCAGGGGATACATATTCACTTTATAGTCAAGGGCTTAATTTTTTAAGTGCTTAAGGGGATATTTAATACCTTAGATCTAGATCAGCTATGTTTGAAATTTGTATCTAATGGTTTGGGGTTTGGCTGCATTAAGTCAAAAATGATGCCTAAAAATCTGTCTGTGTGCTTAAGCTTGTTTTTTAATTCTTTTGTAATAGATGTATGAAATTGGTGTATTCATACAAGTGCTGGTTTAGACATACAGGGAGGATATGAGGGAAATATCAGAAAAGCAGCAGCAGTTGTTTGAAGACCATTTTTTTTTCCATTGCAGCAGCAGATGTCAGAATGGAAGAGCCAGGTGATTTGAGGAGGAAAAGGAAGGAAAGAGGCAAGGAAGAGCTGGGATGTCTAGGAGATAAGGGGGACCATACTGAAAGAACAGACTGGGCATCAGAAGCTAAAACTAGACTCACTGTTCACCAGGGTCCACATCTCTCAGGCTAATATATACAGTGTCCTTAGCAGACAGGCAAGAAATTACCCATGAGAATCCTGGAACATCAGGCACCTAAGAAGTTCAAAAGAACAGGTTTCATTTTTCACTCCATTACAGAACAGAATCCAGTTTTGTGCAAAAAGATGCAAAGCAAGCTTCTGTTCAATGCAATTATTCATGTGTCTTTTTGTTTTGGTTTTTTTTACTCAAAGCCCTGACTACTTGAAAACCACTGATGTATGAGTGTACAACAGTCAGAAGTGTTGAGCTGAGGCTGAAAAGGGAAAGTAGTGCCAGAGAAAACTTGCTTGAGGCTGGGGGATGCCCATAGTCCCAGCTGGAGGGTTCAATGTAGGGACAGGGAGGCTTCTAGTCCTTCTTTTGCATACAGAAGTGAGGGTGGTCTGGTTAGGGAGCCCAGGTTCTGCATTTATGAAGAAATAGGTAGGCAGTTTCTAAATGTAACAATGGTGGTCATTTAGAGTAGAGAGGGTGGTCTTGACCCATCCTACCCACTTGTGATGAGATCCCAATATAAAGAGTTTGTGATGATTGCATTACCTTGTCCTTCAGTTCCTTTATGAGGAAAGCCATGGGCTGCCCATGCAGGTTCCCGCTTGGAGATGTTAGTGGTGTGTTAATGTCATGTGGGCACCAAACCAAACTAAACCAAGATCTGGGTGAACTTTTGCATGCCCCGAGGTGGTTCCTATTGCCAAACTGCATAAGCAGAGATGGATATAAACACAAGAGATAAGCAATGGAGCACAGGTAGCATGCTTTCTGTTATGGATCAAAATGACAAAGCTTTTTGTAATGTTGTAAATATTCCCCAAGGATAGCATTCTGGAATGGGAAATGCCATTTTCTTTTGGTTTACTTACAAACATATGGCACTTAAGGAGATCCCTCACTTTCTTGAAGTTATGTGTGTGACTGGATGGTTCAAAGTTTTGAGGCCTGAGGTGAATCAGTAACAACCTACTTTGTCCTCCTTGGGAATACTTGCAATTTATAAAGTTATGCAGTATGTATGCAGAGGACAGTCCCAAATCTCTACAACACTCCAAGGTTTATCGGTGATGGAGTAAGCTTCCTCTGTAAGTTTGTAAATGTGAATACAACTGGACAGGAGACAGCCTTGTCTGCATGGCTGAACTTTTTATCTCCCAGTTGTCTTAAAGCAAGTTTGCTTTATGGAAAGTTGTTGACCTAGTTTAACAGACAGCTAGGCTTGAAGCCACACTGTAAGGACTTAACTAAAATCAAGCAGGCTTTTCAGTAGGGAGCTTGTACTGTGCTGGAAGCCATTCATGCTTTTGTAAAAATATTGTCTAATAAACAACCTGTGATCCCCACCAAGTATCAAACAGGTTCTTCCACTTTTCTTCACTTCCGCTACAGTATTTGCTAGCTTCTCATTAGCCCTCCCAACAGATCTGGGATTTTTCACATTGTGACATGGACCATCATTGGGAACATCATCAAACATCACGTCTCCATAATCCTTGATGCCATACCCTGTAGTTAGCATGGCACAAGAGAACATTAACAATGACAAGTACATTATAACATTTCCTAGGCAATATTCCACAGCTAGTAGTATGGTATAAACAGTATTTATTTCATAAAGCAATTTTATGCTTAGATATGTGTAATGTCATTTTGCCTGAAAATTCATTTTTAACTTTACTTTTTTTCAGACTCTCAATTTGCAGCTAAGCCAGGACCATCCTGAAATATCTGGGGCTGAAACAAATTTCCACCCCCTAAATAAATATCTATGAGCTGGTCAAGTAGGGAAGATGAGAGAGGATCTTATCCTGGCTGCTACCTTAGGATCATAGGAAAGCAGGGCTGTAAGGGACCTCGAAAGGTCTAGTCCCGCCCCGCGCTCAAAAGGATCATCCCTGATTTAACCATCCCAGTCAAGCGTCTGTCTAATCTGCTACTAAAAACTTCAAAGGATGGAGATTCCACAATTTTGTGTGCGTTCGTGCTGAATTATATAAGGACTGAATTAAGCACAGGCTCAGACCTGGATGTTCAATTTAAAACTTTTATTGTTTCACAAAGTCATA